TATTATTATATAATTATATAATAATTTTTTAATTTATTTAATAAAAAAACTAATTTAATTATTAAATTATATTGTAAAGTTATCTGCATATATTAAAAGAGTAAAGTAATAATAAAAAATTTATTATTAAATATAAAGTTAAATTAATCTAAATTTAACTATTATAAAATAATTTATAGGTTTTAAAAATAAATATATAAAAAAGATATTCAATATTTAAAAATGTATATAAAATAGTTATGTCTAATTTATGAAAAATATAAAATATAAAAACAAAAAATTAAGCATAAAATAATAGTAAATAGATTAATTGGCTAAAGCTGAGAAAAGTGAAATGGAAGCCTTTCAAGTTTTACTTTACTGAATTTTAGAAATGTCCAGTTTCCAGTTTACTTGACCCAAAATTTAGGTTCAATAATCAGAATTGAATCTAAATTAGGTTCAATGTTTGGATACTGAATTCTTGGTTTAAAATATAATGGCTGACTTTAAAAATTCTCTTACTCTATTGAATTTTTAAAAATGTACAGTTTCTGATTCAATAATTAGAATTAAATCTAAAAAATTAGGCTCAATAACCAGAATTGAACCTAAATTAGGTTCAGCATTGGATACTTAATTCTAGATTTAAAATTTAGTTGCTGACTTTTAATAGAATATATTAATTGAGTTTATTAGCTAGAAAATAGTAAATATTTTGTATCAAATATATATCATCATAAATCTGTTATCATATCATAATAAACATATTTAATAAATAATAAATAAAATAATAGCTTATCAATTAGAAAATAAAAAATATAAATATATATTATAAGTAAATATACTTAAGTTATCAGTAAAAATAAAAATTTATATTATTATAATTATGTTAACATATCTAAACAAGCACATTTGATAACAGATAAGTAAAAGAAAATATTGATATGTTTTCTTTTTAATTTAGCTACAATAAAATGCAAAATCAAAAAAGAACTTATACACCTGAACAAATAGCTATAAAAAATAAAGATAGAAAAAAACAGAAAAATTTAATAACTAAGAACAGCAGTTAGCTTATCAAACATATGAATTAGAAAAGAGGCAGGCTTGTTACAAGCACCAGTTAGCAGCTAATAACAATAATATTAAAGAGAAAGAGAATATAAATTAAGATGGACTGATAAATCAAGAAAACAGCCTAAATTAAAGTATGATTTCTAAATAAAATTTTGAAAGAAATAATAAAGTATAATATGGTATAAATTATTTAAAAACAAAACATCACCTGCCTGTCAACTTACTGATGAAGATTGTAATCTTCTCAAAAAGTTTCATAATGCTGTCACAGATCTTAAACATAATTACTGCCCTATTTGTAAAGAATCATTTTTTTCAGTTGTATTAGATCATAAAACTGGCTCTTGCATTAGATATAGCAAAGACAAATTGATGTCTAAAAGGTTTTCACAAGAGAATGATATGAATTCAGATATGTTATAATAAATAATATAAGAATAAATTAATAATACTATATATAAAAATATATACATTTAATGCAATATATATTTTTTTTAGAAAATGTACTAACTGAATTGCCTTAGCTTAGTCAAGTTGAAGAAATGTTAATTGCGTGAGTTCTTCCTATATTGACTATTTTTAATCTTCAAGGTAGACAGCTTGGATACAGGGGTCATATAATTAATTTTTTCTACAAGACATTCAAGAATTTATTACAAAATTGTCTAGAGATCCTGCCACAATTAATACTTTAATTATTTGATGAACTGGACAAGATTGTAATACATTTCATGACTTTAAAGTTAAATGTACAAATATATTAGTTTGGTTAAGTTTTCTTAAAAAAAATAAACCATTTTATACAAACATTGAAATTGATCATGTTATGTTACAAACTTTTTCCAAAGATGGATCTGTATTCGAGAGACTATATGCTATGCATAATGTTAATTTATCAGTTAAAAACACAATTAATTTGAACAATAATTATGATCCAAGTGATGTTTTTGACATGTTAAATAATGATACTATATATACTTTTATTCCAAATCCAGTATCTAAAGAAACTAAAGAAGTTTCTACTTATAATAAAATTAATAGCCTTATGAATTCAGATAATATCATACCTTGGCCTACAATTGATAATATTCCTATTAATGAATTTAAAGATATTGGTTATATTACAAGTGCATTTCCTATATTGTTTTCTATAGGGAAAACAGATTTATATAGTGTTTAACAACATCGTCACATGCATTCTACTGAATATTTTGAACATTTAATAAAATATTGTAATGAAAGGTTCACACAGCACCAATGATTTCATTACTTCACTTTGAATAAGCAATGAACTGGAGAGCTTTAGAAACTGAAAAAATTTATGTGTGACAACATTTAGAAGATTTATATATTATTATAGAAGATGTCTGTGAATTGTTTAATTCTGATAATTAATTTGTTAATCACATTATTCGATATGTGACAGCATTATGAAACTTTTTGAGAAGATTACAATCTTCATCAGTAAGTTGACAGGC